TATATATTTGTGTGTGTGTTTATTTAAATTGTGTTAATAGAAAGCTTACGTGAATTGAGAACAAAGCTATTAAGTCCCAAATTTGAGGGGGTGGAACGAGAATTTTTTGAACAAGGGAAGAGGAAGAATTGCGGGTAACCAAAAGACCTTAAAGGTATGTTTAGGATTTTTTTCATTAAGTTATTTAATGAATTTAATATGTGTGTTATTTATATAAGTCAATTAAAAGTCATATTAAGGCAGAACCCTTTAATTGAAGAACATTTAACCATGAATTAAAAGCTGATAAATTCTTGGGATTTGAGGAGATGAATCAAGACATTCAAAGAAGGATAACGTAATGGTTTATTAGTTAATACGTTAGTTATATATATTAGTTAATTAAAAGTGTTGTTTATTTCATATGATCAATTTTATGGATTAATTTTAGTGATTCTAATTTATCAAACAGCTGAATTAAAGGATGATAGAGAGATTGAAAATTGTTTGTGCTAGAGGAAGTGAAGTGATGGGATATGCATTTCAGAGATCCTTTAAGCAAGTGTGATTATTTACTTATTGGCATTAAATTAATGATTTATTTAGAGGTTAGATCACAAATTGATCAAAATACAATAGTTTAAAAACAAATATCTCAATCATGTTTTGCATTTTAACAGTTCGAAATATGTCTCACAAATGGAAGGAAACTAGTTTACATATGAAAGTACATTTAAATGAATTTAAGTCAATATAAAATAATAAAGACTCAAGTCAATTAGAATTTACCCCCAGATGTTACTGGTTTGGGATGCGATGCACTCAGGCACAATAAAGAAAATAAAAATGGTAAAGATGTACCTTCGGATGCAATTTTTTTTAGGGTACATACGAGTACAATTTTCAGGATATCTTTGGGTATGATGGTGATTCTGATACGAGTTCTTAAATAAGATGATAATGATCATTAATTAAATCAAAACAAGAATGATTAAATTTAAAATTAAAACTTACAGTTTGATTAAGGAACTAAATTTCTTGTGGTCATTCATTCATAGCATTTACATAATAATTTAATACACATTAAAATTACAATTGCTCACTAAGTCGTGAAAACTTACTTTTGAAATAAATATTTTACTTTCAAGAAAAAAAAACTATAGAATAATATGTCTACCATGAGAAACTTAGTTTATATGAAGACTACAGTTGATAGGTTTCATATTATGATGTGATTGTAATTTCTTTTTGGATTTTTTTCTTCAGGGTAGTGATAGCACGGTTATATCTTGGTTTGATTTATATATAATATAATTGTGATTTCTTAATAAATCTTTTATAAATTGAAATTTCTAGAAATATGTGTATAGCTATTGAAATTTTAATACCATCTAATTGTAGTTCATGATTTAGTTAATACTAAGATATCAGGTCAGGTTGTGGCAATGACATCCTGAAACTCTCTTAATAAGACCTGCACTATGTGTGATATCGACTCCACAAACGCACTATTTTTTAGAAACACCCATGCTAGTCCTAAGGTGCTTCTCTCAAGACCTACAAAAGTTAGCTCATAGCACTATCATCTCAAGCACGATAAATACGTTCATTACCTCAAAGTCTTTCCAAGATGAAAATATGATGTGTTTGCATACTTGATGAAGAAATATATGTCCTTATAGCCAACATGATGTGTGTGTCAATCATACTGACAAGGGCGAGCCAATAGGATATGAAAAACTCTCATAGATATCAAGTCACACCACCTGATTTTAGAACACGTCTCTGACATAGAACTCAACTAGGCATCTCCTACTAACTGTGATCTCATTCCCTTTCTTTAAACAAGACAAAGAATATGGATGAACATGTTTCTGTTTGGTAAGACAACTTATCTATCATTTGGGTAGATACCATGTTCTCATAGCTGATTCTATCAATATGATAAGAATGTGCACCTTTTCTTTCCGGTACAAGTAAAAAAAATTATTATAGTGAAGTCGCTATTACTATCTTATGTCAACTTGAAGAATCTAGAAAACCCCTGCCATCTCCCTCTCATTAGAGGAAAATTGATACTTCTCTCTGACATTCTTATTTTCTCTTGGCCCTAGTGTCACGGTTCATTTCTTTCACCGCTCACTAATCAGTGAAAAAGATCACTCTTCGATTTGATCACTCAAATGTTATATGCTAAAGCCATAACACTTGAAGTACTTCCAAACTAGTAATAACTCAGTTCTAATGGGTCCATCTTTTCTCCACCATAGGTTGGTTTCTCCTCATGAGTGGTCGGCTTGGGTGCTCTGGTAAATATGATTTGATTGTTTGATCCTAAAGTTAAGCTTTGTTTGTAAGGTGTGATGGTCCCCTAGTGACGATATTATTTCTCCACATTCAAAGCAAAGATTTTTATGCTCCTCTTTTACGATAAGACTACAACTATAATGCATTACTAATAGAGGACTTCAATCATCTAAAATAACTCGTTATTGTATGTTTCTCTGGTTCAACCAACTCACATTTCAACATAAATTAATCAAATTTGGCCAAATACTCCTCAGAAGAAACACTCTTGTAAGCTGTGAAATTTTAGGAATATGTCCTACTGATAATGTGGGGATGGTATTTATGCTATATTTCATTTTCATCTTAGAGCATGTAGTGATCTAATTTTTTTCTTCTAGTAGTCTAAAATGCTTCAGATTCAACCACCATAAGGACATATTATTCTAGAATTTGATGGCTATTAATTTGACTTTTGGCTTGAGGAACGTCCTTGTACGCAAAAATTTATTCAGCTATTTGGAGCACCTTAATGAATTTGTCTGGATCAAAAGCATCAAAATCTGGTAAGTTAATATTCACCCCAAAGTCAGTGTCTCTCTTTTAATGTTAAATATCAAGACATCGGCGTATTGATTCTTCATCATTAGAAACTTTTTAATGAAGAAAGATTGATTTTCCCCTCTCGATCTGGTCAGTTACCATTATAACTATGGGTTACCTCTCTAAGTTGCCTCCTCTTAAATACAACAAGGCTTTGTTTTAGTAGGGAGGGTATCCCTTCGCATATTTTTCATTGTAAGCTCTTAAACACCTGTTTACATGTTCCTCAGCGGGAGCATGATATCTCTTTCTCCCAATTAGAGTTCCAACCAAAATAGGAAGGCAGTTTTGGGTGGTCTAAAGGTGAGAGGGTGAGGATAGATGAATTAAGTAATGTGGATATAAATTTTAAAATGGGGAAAATAAATTCTTGAAGTTTAGGGTTTATTTAGCTCTAATACCAAATGACATCGATCTAGGGTTACTAAACAGTGTGAGAAGTCCAAGGGGATAGTTAACAGAGTTGCACGAATGTGACGTGGAAAATTGAAGGCAATAGCGGGACAACCATTGCAACCGATGGCTACATAGCAGGTAGACAGCAGCTGCAGCGGGTACGCAAAGAGGGTTGATAGTGTTGGAAGATAGTCGAACGTCCAAGAAAGATCACCACTCAGATCCAATCATATCATAGTCACACTACATGAAAAAGATCAATGATACAATACCCCCACAAAGAAAAACAATAGAGAACTATCTTTGTTGCATAAAACCAAAACAACCAATCCCAAATTAGTCCATAACAAACATATAAATATTTATCAAGTAAAATAACCTAATATTGGTGCTAATTTATGAAAAAAGAGAAGCTAAGGGTGCTGGCCTATAGCCCTAAGTGGCTGGAACGTGAGCCAATTAATGATCCACAATTTCTGAGAATCCCAACCCCATCTGGTTCTCGGGTCAGGTGATGACCTAGAGCATAGGCATAATAAAGATATATCATGAAGTCCAAGCTCAATTGAGCCGCTTAGTTTTGAATGTTCTAGAATATTATATCGATTCATTATGACAAGTGAAAAACATATTCTCATCTCAATTTATTTATTTCATTATAGCTCAGAATTATGATTTACCCACTGAATTGTGTTAAAATGCATCATTGTTATATAATCAATATTATAGGATAAAAACTTGTAAACTAAATGAGTGAGAGAAGTGTAAATTGCAGACATGGAGCTACAACAGCAAGTTATTTATATATTATAAGTTTTGTACAAACAAAAATTGGTCTAATTTTATTTTAAATAGAATAATGTTTATAATTCAATGACTCTTTCGATATATTGAAATTAAATAAGAAAAATTAAAAACAAAACAGTTTTTATATTATTTAATACTCCGTTCAATGATTTATTCTCATCTTAGTATAACAAGCTCTCAACATGGCCCGTAATAGCAACATAACAACTTCAAGTCTGCCCTTTAGCATGAGAATGTGGATCATTAAGAAGGGAAAAGTAAAGAAAGCATTCAAATAATAATAAATAAAAAAATTATAAGCATCAGTCTTCAACTGCCACAAAATACCTTGCATTTTCCTTCAGCCATTTTCGTAATCATATTTCTTCGTTGTTTGGTGCTATTGGTGGCGTCAAATATGCCAACCTGTACTCAAATAAGCATATTTGAATGAAAAAAAGGTCAAACTTGCAGGAAAAAATAAACCATTTTACCTGACCTCCTTCCTGCATCCACGATAACATATCATCCATTGCTAAGGCCGCAACCTACAATCATCATCAAATGAAAATGCAAAATTACAAAGAAGATGAGTCATTCACCTCTGCAGCTTAATTTCATTAGTAGCTTATGAAATAAAGCTACTTTTGCTCAACACTTAAAAGGATATAAAAGAAGTTTAAGCAGAATTCCAAGTTGAGAAGACTACATCCACAAAAAGTTTTCCCATAGTGAAAATAAAAAGATGTTCATGGAAATATAATAGAAAAGTAACAACATGCACAAAAATCACGATATGCCAAAAATTTTGACAAAGCTTTCCAGTAATAAAACGACTTTTGAAACATAGATACTAAGAAACATAGAAGACAACTATAAAACGGGAACTCTTCTAACCTCATTCCGTGCTTCCACACCTTCTGCATTGTCCCCTCGAAAAAAATCAGCACCCTATAATCAAATGACTCTTGTCAAAAACCAAAACATTAATGACGAACACATGAGCACAAAAGGAAGAAACTGATGAGCGATTGGAAGAAAAAATATTGAATTTCAAATGGATGACAGAAATAAAAATGTAAAGAAGGAGCCAGTTGAACACTAATTGAATTGCCTTGAAATAGATCACAGAAAATAAAAATCAATCGGAGCACCTCTAACAAACCATGCGTGTGACTAGATTGTTGCACTTAGCCAAAGGCAATATATTTCATCTTAATTTGAGTCCAAAAATAATTTATACTGGAATTTTGGGGCATTTTGAAGATAGAATCCCCTGACGTGGGCGCTAGTTGCACCCCTAGTGCAGGGCGCCAACAGCGCCCAAATGGGGGCGCTAAAACAGCACCTAGGCATGGGCTTTTCAAACCGCAGGGCCAGTAACCCCACTAAGCATAGCAGAAACGGGAGAGGGAGAACGCGAACCTCGCGGAGTACGATAAAGGGAGAACCCGGGCAAAGGTGGAAAGGATCACGAAGCAACAGGGGATCGTGGACTATTGCGATCTAGGAGGAGCATCACGAGGTTGTCGCTCTAGGAGGTGTTTTATGGATCTTCTTGGCTTCTCATCCATTCCTTTTGTGTAGAAGTTTCCTTTGTCCTATGGAGTTGTCCTCTGTATGTGGGGAAGCAGCTATAATGACGCTGTCTTCAGATCTCCTGTGTAAAATCTCTTCCCTCTTGTTAGATTTTTCTCTGATAATAGTTAGTGCTTCAGTTGTATCCTATTCCGAGGTGGTGTAGTATACTTCCTATCTCATTCGCTCCTTCTCCCCAAACTTTCTCCTATCACTCCACTTAACCCCAAATCCCTCCACCTCACTACTGTCGCCTCCACTACTTCCCCCACGACCTTTTTGTCCCTCTCCCGCCTACCTACATTCAATCAAACACCATCCCAACTTACCCCACCACACCGCCAACGCCGCCAACGCCTTCGGATCTCTTTTTACACTCCTAACCAGAGATTCGTCTATTATTGTATTTCCTTTCTTTTTGATTTGTATTGTAATCTTATTTCTATATTAATAAAAGTTTATTTTTTGTGTTTGTATTGTTTTTCCTACTAGTTCCAGTATCATTTAGTATCAGAGATAGTCCTATCCTAGTCTTATCCTAAGATTTCCTAGCATCTGTCATCTGTCTCTACCCAATACACCTCCATCAATTTTTTTTTTCCTTCTGATTCCAAACTCTAGCTATGCCACCGTGGAGAAATACACAGGACTCGACCCGGAAAAAATTCACAGAGAAATCTATCGTCTGCAACGGAGACTAGAAGGGTTGGATGAAAAAAACCAGATAGAGATTACCTTCAATCGTAATCGAGAGAGTCAAAGAGAAGACAGGGACGAGGAGATGAATCCGTTCCACAGTGAAGATCACAGTGACAGGGAATATCGACCACATCGTTTTGGTATTCAATATCAAAGAGGCTGAGACAAGAGACCCCTTATGGAGGACAGCAAAACTTTGGCATGAAGATGGACCCAAAATTTGAGGGAGGTATGAATCTCGATGAGTTTATTAACTGGCTATCATCAAGTAAACGAATTTTCAAATATAAAGATGTACCGGAGGACAAATAAGTCAATCTAGTTGTAATTAAACTAAAAAAAATATCTCCTTATGGTAGAATAATTTACAAAAGCAGAGGATAAGAGAAGACATTGAGAAGATGACTAAGTGGGAGAAGATGAAGGCTGCAGAAAAAGTACCTCCCACTCCACCATCATTAGGATATGTTTCTGAAACTTCACAACATATAGCAGAGAAATTTTTTAGTTGAGGAGTTCATAGCCCAATTCGACCACTTGCTGAAATGCGAGCTGACGGAGCCAGAGGGACATACGATAGTCAGATATTTCGAGAGTCTGAAATTCGTCATTAGCAACGCGGTACAATTGCAGCCATATTGGACGCTAGGGGATGTCCAGACAATAGTATTGAAGGTAGAAAGACAACAGAAGCAAAGCAAGCAACAATCATCATTTAGGCAACAACCTTCAAGCAAGCAGCCACCTACACTCACCATGACCAAGAAGAGCACCCCAAGAGAGACTAGCCAGCCCGAACACCGGAATGACAATCTGAATTAAAGCAAGAAGAAGCAAGAGAAAGGTAGCCCCTCCAAAATTGTACCAGCCAAAAAATATTTCAGATGTCATGGTTGCGGCCACATTGCCTCCAGCAGAGTAGTCTCACTTATTGATCAGGGCGCCATGAAAGAAATTAGCAATGAGGAGAAAGCTTAGGAACAAGATGAGGAGCATCAGCTTTCCCCATATGACGAAGAGGCGCTCCCGCTACAAAGTGAACGAAACGATATGTAATTTCATCATTGACGGCGGAAGCAAAAAAAAATATAGCATCAACGCAGATAATAGAGAAATTGAGACTCGCAACTCAGAAGCATTCCTAGCCATTGAGACTCGCAACATCAACTGGAGAGACTTAGTGGTATTTTTTATTGGGGGTCAGCTAAAGGACCTGCTATGATGTGACATAGTTCTCATGGTTACCTGCCACTATTTGTTGGGACGATCATGACAGTTTGATCGGAGGACAGCACAACGGATATATAAACACGTATTCTTTCACCAAGGACGAGAAGTGCATCAGCCTCCTTTCTTCGACGGAGCCTGAGGTCACAAGATCCCTTATCAGCATAACAGCGTCAATGAAACCAGATTCAGTGGCGACATAGAATGAATGGACAGAGATATCGGCTCCTAACATGACACAAATACGATAGAGAAGATATCCGAGCCTCATAGTCGATAGTGTATCACCAACTCCACCATACGGCAGGAGGGTTCAGGCACTCTCACGACACACAAGACTGAATCACCTGTGAGCTACTATGGGAAAATTCAACAGTAAGTGTGGGGCACACGTTCCACAAGATGGGATTCATGTGGATTTTTGTTCGTACGTGAGAAAAGACCCTGGGTACTTCGAGAGAAAACGCAGTCGCCAATGGGATCCAAAGGGGATTGACGAAAAAACAAAAGTTTCGACCTATGAAATTGAAGCTCCCCCAACCCTGAGAGACTGATGCAGGTGCTAACTGCGCCCTAACGTAGGGCACCAATAGTGCTCTAATGCAGGAGATGGGCGCTTCAAACCGTTGGGCCAGAAACCCCCGCTAAGCATCTCAGAAGCGGAAGCAGAAGATCGCGAACCCTAGTAAAGGAGCGAGAAGGGGGAAAGGATCGCGAAGCAAAAGGGGATTGCCAACTCTCGCAATCTGGGAGAAGCATCACGAGGTTGCCGCTCTATGAGATGTTATTTGGATCCTTCTTGGCTTCCCACCATCCCTTTTGTGCAGAAGTTTCCCTTATCACGTGGAGTGTATAAATTGTTGTCCTCGATGTGTGGGGAGGCAATTCTAGTGGTGTTGTCATCAGATCTCCTATGTGGAGTCTCTCCCCACTTGTTAGAGTTATATCTGATGACAGATGGTGCTTCGGTCGTATCAAGTTCCGAGGTGGTGTAGTATACTTCTAATCTCCTTCACTCCTCAATCTTTCTCATACCACTCCACTTAGCCACCTACCACCCCAGATCCCTCCACCTCACTACCACCACCTCTAATTCCCCCACAACCTTGTTGTCCGACCTAACTACACTCAATCAAACACCATCCCAACTTACTCAAGCCACCACCCCGCCGTCCCTACCTTTCCTATCACCCCGCCGACGCCGACAACGCCATCGGATTTCTTCCTACCATTCTAACTGGAAATTCGTCTATTGTTTTATTTCCTTTTAGTTTGAGTTGTGTAGTAATCTTCCTACTACTCTAATAGCAACGAAAAGTATGCTTTTTGTGTTTCTAACGTTCTTCCTACTAGTTCGGTATCATCCCTGCTAGTTAAGATTGACTTTATCATCAGGACATTTTAACATTCGAAACATTTATACTTAAAATAAGAATTTAAGAGCTCCGTTTTGACAGTTATTAATACAATTTATAGTAATCACATATGTCATAGAAATACTCATTTGAATTATTTTGATCAACCTTGTCAACTTTATTAGTTTATTGTTTGTTCAGAGTGGATTGGGTTCATGTAGTTACGTATCATTTTAGTTAATTTTTTATATTTGTTATCTTACAAATCTTATCAACTCTATTGTTATAAGTAGAGAATCAGAATCATAGGTTGAACTCATCAATACATTTTGCGAGTGTAACAAAACCAAAAGTTTTTGTTCTAAAATGAATTTTCTTTATAAGAGGCATTGAAGGCAGTATGTAAGTGGACAAAAAAAGCCTTTTGTGAGCTCATTGAAGAGCTTTCAATCTTCAATCTCTAATGACCAGCTATATTAGACCAAGAATATGAATTTAAACATCATTCTCTAATGCAATTCTTGTCATCTCCAAAACTCATGATGTAAAGGATCGAACTTGTGGCCTGGTCAAGAACATGCATGTGTTAAGTTTGGGTTTTATATTGTGAAAATAAGCTTAATTTTTCTTTTTAAAGATTGCATAGTGCATACCTCTCAAAGCGATCCAAGTTTGAATTTATCTTTTTTTTTTTTTTAGTTTATGCAGCATTCTCAAACCCTATGTTCAAACATTTAACATCTTGGACAAAGGCACACGAGAATGTGTTCAATTTAATAGATGACACAATTTAATGAAGATCTATGTTTTTCAAGGACTTGCATGACTTTTAAGTAGTTACATCTAAGTTGAAAATCATGTCATGAAATTTGTGTAAAATATAAAATTATCCAACTTTTCTTTGCTATTTGTATCACTTTCCGTTAATATTTTATCATTAGGTCATGCACAAAATTTTCTTCTAATTTAACAATCACCTATTGCGAGCTTGCATGTATATATGTTGTAGATCGAATGATATTTCTCTTGTAAAATGGAATTCTGCCACATCTCAAGTGTTCATCCATATATAGTTATATTTTAGCAAAGTGT